GAGAAGGAATGGAGAACAGGAAGAGGAGGGGATTAGGAGAGCGGGAGAAAGGAAAGAGAAGGGGAGGAACGGTGGAGAGGAAATGATCAGAGAGGGACAGCGGGTGCTTGTGTTGGGGTCTCCAGTCTGCAGGGCTGTATTTACGGCATCTGCATCACCAATGCGTCGAGCTCCAGCATGGGAAGGACTCCCAAGCCAGAGAGAGAGGTGTCCTGTCCAGGAAGTGAGCCCTGGGGCTCTCTGCTGGTCTCTCCTCTCCTTCACTCTCTGTCTCATTCTTCCATCCCTAGCACATCCACCTCCTCTTCTCCCTCAGTCTCACTCTCATTTTCTCCTTCCCGAACTCCGTCTCCCCTTCCCTCTCACTCCCTGTTTCTCCCACTCTACCTCTCTGTCCTCCTCCATTTCTCTCCTTCTCTTCCTCACACTCTCCTCCTTCTCTACCACCCTGTCCCTCTTTCCCCGCCTCTCCCTCTCTCTGTCCTTCTCTACCTCTGTCTCTCTCCCTCTCGCTGTGGGGAAACAGCTCTCTCATCAGAGGTCGAGAACGTCGGCGTGAACCTGCTCAGAGCAGGGAGTGGCGCCGTGCTGCTGGAGTCGGCGCCGACCGTGACCCCGGCAGTGTCTGATGGGCGTGTAAAGCACGACACGCACAGTAACGTCACGGTTCAGGCACACTTGAGTAAATCATGACACCACCCGTGAGAAACAGTGGTAAAACAAAGCCAGTCGATCGGTCCACAGCCCTGTCCTGCAGCTGCGGTGACAAGAAGGCTCTTGTTCAGTCCTGAGGCGGACCTCAGGAGAACGTCGGTGGTCGCTGCATGATCGAGTCACCCGCGGCTGGAGTTAAAACTGGGACGCCCCAGACCCCCGGGCGCGAGCTCCCGCCCGCGACGCCGGTGCTGCCGGGGGGCGAGCAGGGGAACGGGCCAGAATGGCTTTCCCTCCCCCTGTCCTGTCCCGTCCCGTTCCTCCCTGCTGGTTATCGGCGCAGCTCCTCTGCCACGGAAATCAAAACCGGGGATGAGGAGGAAAAGGATCTCAGGAGAGGAGGAAGAGGAGGAGGAGTGAGGGAGATGGCCAGTGTACTGGGAAGGACGGTACCCCTATTGGATCCACATGGTTCAGAGATTGGCTGGCTGCCGCCCCTGCAGCGCAAGCCAAGGTTGTACTGTAGGGTCAGTCTTTACTGTAGGATCAGTCTGTACTGTAGGGCCAGTCTGTACTGTAGGTCAGTCTGTACTGTA